GAGACCCACGCCGTGGTGCTGAGCCGCCCCGCCTGGCTCTGGGGCGCCGAAATGGGCGCCAACGAGCACGGCGTGTGCATCGGGAACGAAGCCGTGTGGGGGAGAGAGGAGGTCGGCGACGGCGAAGCTCTTCTGGGCATGGATCTCGTAAGGTCTGCGCAGGCCGCTGCGGTAAACGGCACTGGATGCGGAGTCCGGGGTCCTCTATTGGTTTTTCTTAAGCGTTCGTTTGGAGTTGCGGGTGGAAGCGAGCGCTTGCTGCGCGCGTCTGTCTCTTCTGCCCTTCCAGCCAGGGGTGAAAATAAGTATTTCTTGGCCCAGCAGCGAGATTCCTTCTCTCTGGCGGGAGCTGGGAATCTTTGGAAAGAGGCATCAGGCACTGGAGTAGACCCTACCAAGAAAAGTACCACACGTTTTTCTCCCTACAAAGTTTCTACTAAACTGAAACAGGGCTCAAAAGGAGCACAGCTGACTTGAGGAACTGGGCGTCGGGCCTTTTCCCAGGGGTCTGTTTTCATTTCCCAGTTCCCCCCTCTCGCGCACGTAACTTTCGGTTTCAGACCTAGCCCCGCGTCCCCATGCCAATGGCGGGGGCAGCTGCTTTTGCCCCTCTTACCGTGTGCCAAGATAGCCCTCACTAACCTACGCTAAGCAGTCAGTCAGGTCGTCTTGGTGCCGTCTTCCCCCCTAGACCGATATTCAGTGAGGGCCAAGGCATTTCCTAGGAGCCCTCTGTCTGCCCTTCTGTATTTCTGTTTGGTTGTTTCCCCCCCACGCTAAGGACATACGGTCACTGGACCCACTTTAAATGACTTGCTCCTGTCTCTCCCCAGATCGCTTAGGCAGCAGGTACACACAGAAAGAGCGTTCCCGTTCAACGTGAATATTCATGCTGAATAGTTACGTGCAAAACGTTTAATTCCAAAGGTAATATCTTCCTTTTGTTTTATTTAGGCTTGGACTCGAGAGAGCGGACACAGCTGAAAAGGCCCTTACTGTCATAGTTGATTTGCTAGAAAAATATGGACAGGGAGGAAACTGTATGGAGAGCCATATGGCTTTTACATACCATAACAGTTTTCTCATAGCTGACAGAAAGGAGGCATGGGTACTGGAAACATCAGGAAAATACTGGGCAGCAGAAAAAGTAGAAGGTATGGATCTCTGTTAGGATTTTGGATATTTCCAGTGTACTGACAATTTGTCCACTTTTCGCTCACCATTTAATTACCATTTAATTAAGGCATCAAAGTAGCCTCCCCATATGTACACTTGTACGTACAAGTGTAGCACGAAGTTGCTTACTGGGCCCTCAGTGTAGACAGGGCAGCAGTCTCACAGGGGAGCTGAGCCACCCAGAGGGGCCCTCTCAGAGTCAGAGGTGACCGCTTCTGCACTCGGAAAGGGAGGACAGCAACAAGGTCAGCATGAGAGTAGCAGCAGTATGGACAATCTTAAGCATGGAGGCAATCCAGTGCAATTGGTTGGGGAATACTGCCAGGATTGGTGTGGTTGGGCCCTGGAAAATATTAGTGTCCGGTTCTTCCATTGGGCTCCAAAGGACAAGCTAGGTCTTTGGACAGTCTAAGGGGAAGAATGTAGAGATGAGAACGAGCAGAACTGAACATGAAATACGAGGATGGCAGTGAAAGTAAAATGACTCGGAGCTGAGGCAGCAAATGAATTTTGATCTGAAGATACAAGCAGCCAGAGAGAAAGAGAGAAGGCCAAAAATAAACCACAGGATTGCACAGATCTTGTAGGAAACTCCTAAATGCATCATCTCCTTCAGTAAGGTAATAACCTAAATGTAAACCAAGTGTTAGGAAAAAGCATTAGATATATTAAAATGATTTTTTTCCTCACCTTAAAAACAGGAGGTGTACGGAATATTTCCAATCAGCTCTCTATCACAACCAAGATTGACAGAGAACATCCGGAACTGAGGGAATATGCCAAAAGCAAGGGCTGGTGGGATGGGGAAAAGGAATTTGACTTTGCTGCCACGTATTCTTATGTAAATACCGCCAGCATGACTACATCCAGAGGCCGATACTGTGAAGGCTATAAACTTCTGAACAAACACAAAGGTATCATTCTTGTTTTGTTTGTTTCTGTAAGAAACAGGAAGTGTTTAGTAAGTTACATTAATATAAATCATAAACAATTAAACATCTGCTGTGAGGTCGTCATTCATATGATTTGGTGAAAAGGAGAATTTACTGGATCAACTTTTTGTTTAAAGGAGGAGGAACTGCTCAACTTTGAAGTCTTCCATCCATTTTTGCCAATTTGGGGTAGAGAAAATAAAATATAGGTCCAATATCAAACACATACAGCTACAGTAATGACACTTTGAGGTCACATTATGGCCACACTGCTAAATGCCTCATAAGACTTAGTTCTGGAATACTTACATTATTACTCTATCTCTAAGAAAAAACGGGGGCTAAAGGAGACCATCAGCCCCTAACAGTCTTGTATACCACTTTAGTCTGGTCCTATTCATTACAAGTCTAAGACGATGGCACAGTGTTTGCATACATATTTTGTTTTTATTTTTTGGATTGTGTAGGGAATTGTTTTTCACATCCTTGTGGTTTCCTTATACCTGTTACCCTCCCTTTGCGTACTCTTATATATAAAACACACACACTCTGAGAGCAGAGTAAAGGAATTTTCTGTACTCTGAGCAGGCACTCCTAATTGCTAACTATCCACATAACTTTTTCAGACTTCAACAGAGAGAAGCTATTACTTGTCTTCTAACTGCTTCCACCTGGCAGCAATTTGCTGCAACTCAACATTGCATCTGTATTCACTTGTTCATTTGAAATAATTAATCTGAACCAAAATAAAACTGCACCCCTGTGTTTTTTATTTATATCACTGAGCTCTACCAGACCAGTTTTAGCCTTTAGTTGATGTGTCAGAATGAATTACCTTTTGCTTTCCTGCTTTTAGTGATCATGTAAATCCTGCATTCATTTTGGGAATTGCAGGTTCTGAATACTGAAAGCATCTTTATAATAAATACCTGTATTTACCTGTATTATAACAATGCTAAGGTTCTGTCAGTGTTTTCATTCTAAATCCCCATTTTTCAGGCTTTTACCAGAGCCATTATAAATCGCACTAGGTGGGCATGTGATCAGCTTCATATAGCTTCAGTTTGTTTAGATTTATTTTAAATAGGTGCCCTAAGTAAAAGCTATTTGGTTTAGAGCAATAATAAAATCACTGGTTTCTTATTCTGCCCTTCCTAACTTTTTTCATTCAGTGGCATTACCTTTTTTTTTTTTTCTTATAAACTGTCCTCACCTTGTGAAGACCATTTTTTGATAAACGTTATTTACATTCAAAAATAAGCAACTGATTTTGAGAATACACAATAGTAACAAATATGTAATACCTTCTTTTCTGCTGGACAGGTTGCCAACTTGCAGCTGACAAACTAACTGTTGCTGCTTTTAATTTCTAGTTTGCCGATTTGTTGAATTCTCTGACTTTCCCAGGCAACTGTGGGAATACGTTAGGGAAGAGTGTTTCCTTGTTGAAACGTACTGCTGCATGCCTTGTTTACAGGCAATTTGCATTGTGTATAAGAAAAAATGGAGACATGTGACTTAGCAGCAGTCTGATTATTTTTAATACTTAAGAGGAAATAGCAAGGCAGTTTAAAAGGCAGTTTAAAAAGGAAAAAGTTTAAAAGTCTTTATGCAGCCAGAACTTCACTGAGAGAACCACTGTAAGATTAAGTAGTAATGATATCTTGTAGTTTAAAAAAAAAAAAGAAAAGTGAATGAACAAACTTTTGTCTGCTACAAGCATATGATCAATTAGTACACTAAATCTTTCAATAAAACTACTGTAGCTGCTGCCTGTTAGAATATTGGATTGTGTAGGGATAGAACGCCACTATGTAAGCTTCTACAGTATAAGGGAACAGCAACAGCACTGAACGTTAGCCACAGAGACACAGGGCAAAGGTTCTCTTTTACCTCATTTAAAAGAGCAAACTATTTTCATAAGGCCGTTTGGTGCTATACCTCTCATAGGTGGTTGATCAAGACTTCATTACAAAGGGATGTACTATTGTAGTTTCTGTTGATTCTGGGTATAAAAACATGTTACTCTCTAGCAGATCATTTCAATTGTAATCTTGAAACAAGTACTTCAGCCTTTAATCCAAGCTGTTAATTTTCATCTGAAGAGTTACTGTGTGAACACCCATTTGCTAGCCATATGTATCTCAACCTCTCTGGAAAATCTTCCCCTCCTCCCCCCTCTTTTTTAGTAGTTTTGAGTCATAAATGTTATCGCTCATTATCACCTACTCTTTGAAATAAATACTTTAGGGAAAACAAAAATAGTATTTTTAAGTGTGTTACATCTTAAAGAAAAAAAACACCCTATCAGCATACCTTTTTGCCAACATGGAAAACTAAAATTAGTATTGCCTATTAAAGGAAAAAGCAGCCAGTTGTAGAGAACTTGCCATTTAGTTGATAGTATGAATACTGCTGCTTATAAATAATTGTTTTGTACCTTAAATAGGCTCTATTACTCCTGAAATAATGATGGAAATTCTTCGTGACAAAGAGAGTGGCATTAATATGGAAGGTGGATTTATGACAACTGGAAGCATGGTCTCTGTATTGCCTCAGGACCCTGGTCTCCCTTGTATTCACTTCTTTACAGGAACTCCGGACCCCGAGAGGTGATGTAGCAGCAAATCACTGATACAAAATATTGCAAATATCTGAATGAAAAGTAGCATAATTTTGTCTAATTATATTTCTTTTGTTATTTTTGCTGAAAAACATTTACAAAGTCAAAAAGTAAGGGGAACAAAATGCATAAAATCTTTAGGGGCTCATGTGTAATCTACTTAGTGAACCTGAATTAAAAATAAGTTAGGATTTTTTTTTTTTTAAGACTTCTTCCATGAGAGAAAAAAGAAATAGAACGGGAAAAAGAAAAAAACCCAACAATTTACTGATTTGGCAATTCTAATAAAACTGTATCAGTAAAGGATATTTGTTCTATTTTCTCTTTCTAGGTCTGTATTCAAGCCTTTCATTTTTGTGCCCAATATTACACAGTTATTAAAAACTAGCTCCCCTACATTTGGTCATGATGATCCAGTTAAGAAGCAACCGCGTTTTCAGACTAAGCCAGACCGAAGACATGAGCTCTATAAAAAACATGAAAGTGCTGCTGTAGTTATGGAAACTACTGAGGTATGTTGATTAAATTAGATTTCAATGCAAGCAGGTGGTTTATATGAGCTCCTTGCTCACGTTTTGTTAATGTGATACCATTTAATGGCTCTCTGATGGATGGTGAGGAACACTGTAGTGCATCAGAGACCAATCTTCTTGGCATCTGGCAGGCATATGTTTCAGAAATGCTGAAAAATTGCAACTAATGCTTTGCTGTACTCCCAGGCTTGGTCTCAAGGCAAATATCTGCCCTGCCCATCTTGCAAAGAAGCAGGCCACGCATACTCTCCTGCAGTAGTCACACAATGGGGAGGTGGTTGAGCAGCAGCAGGCAAACGTACAGCTCCCGATAAGAGTACTTAAAACTCCTCAGCACCCTGCTCTTGGGCAGTAAGGAGGTCAGGCCTTTTGTCCCTGCTTGGTATCGACAGACTTATTCAAGTACTCCATGTGCTGTCAGACCAACTTAAGAGAAAAACAAACCTTATTTTTGTTTTTTACTTAGTTTCCTTTACTCTGAAGTAACCAAAACAAGGTGGCAATAAACAGTTTCCGTTGAGAAACTTCCACATGTAGAAAGACCCTAAGAAATGATGAAACTTAGAGCAAAGATCAGTGGCCAGACAGGGAGATGGTTGCTTACTCCTAAACAGTAGCCCCTCTCCTATTCTAAAGGCTCTTATCCAAAACTAAACAAGCTTTTGAACTGAAAAGGTATAGATACACGTTGCATAAAATGGACATCAGCCCACTTAAGTTTTGCTAGCATAAATTCCTGGAGCAGCATTTATGTTTGTCAGGCCATCAAGCAAGGAATGTATAATACTGTAGGGAGATGAAGTAAGTGCTAGACGTTAGAAAGGAAGTACTGATCCAAGAAAATCCGCCATGGTGCTATCTTCTACCAACAACAGCTTGTACCCTAGAAACAATTAAGAGGTTAAATAGTGACTTTAAAACAGTTCTGTGAGAGTGAACGCTAAATAGCTCCATAGAGCTTTTAGTGAAATACAGACTTTTCTTTTTGCAGAAAAAAGGTAAAAAGATGCTGGAACAGATGCGGAAACTGGAGAAACAGAAAATTAGTGAAATGGAATCAATCCTGCAAAACAGATGTCTTGACATGAACCAAGCTGTTAACCTTTTTTCACAGTGCGTAGAAGAAGAACTCAAAGTATATACATAAAGCTACTATTTGAATGCAGTATAATTCAGTTTTATGATTACCTCTTCTAATTAAGTGGATATATAGATTACATCTTATTTTCAATATACCAATTGCTATGGACAGTTTCAGAGATGTGGATTCATGTTTGGGCCAAGCAGTATGCAACAATGCTGAAAAGGCTTTTCAGAGCTAGGGAGTAGCTCTGTGAGTGGCATACAGCTGTCAGCAGAGATCGATTTGCCAACAAGCTGAGAGGCAGTTAGAAACCAGGTAACTTGACTGACTTACCTGGACAATAGATTGCCTATCAGAACCCTGTCGTTGGATGAAGAACACCAACTCAGATTTGGACAACTCCCCTTCTAGTTACACGCTTAAGTAGCTTTTATAATAATCATCATACGTGAAATTCAAATTGTCTGAATTAGACTTGGCAACACTGGATGACTTCCTAAAATATGGAACTTGCACTGAATAAAAAGGAAGGTGATATGCAAGCCAAGCAAGACTGATTTCCAACCGTTTGATAAAGCCCTTTAAGATATGCGTCATATGTGAGCCTTCTACTCCTTTAATGCAAACTGAGCATAAGAGTCCAAGATATATTAATACCAAATCGCAGTTACAATTATACAATAATTTGTTCTGAAAATCTAAAAACATGAAATTCAACAATTGAAATGTCCTGCAAGTTACCTCACAGTTGGCTTTTCACTTATAGCAATAAACTAATGGAGCAGTAAAAATCCTTGAACTTCATAGTTCCAGTGATCTAATTTTACTGTGAACCTTTTGTGCCTGTGCTGCCACCAGAATTTCTTAGAAGCTGAATAGGATACTGGACACTCATCAACTGGAAGGTATATTTAATAAAATGTGGTGTTCTGCCTGTTTTCCTCATGGATGTCTGTATCTGACAATTGTTGGTATCTTTGTCGCGTTGTGGATTATCAGCTGTCCCACACTAGCTCTTTGATAATTTCAAAGACCAAAATAAATGCTAGATAAAACTCTGGAGACCAAGATATGAGTCAAGTACAGGTAGCTTAGCAAAATTAAGATTACAAGTTTATGCCACAATACAAACATAGGGAAGTTATATAGGAATGACCGTACTGAAGGTGGCGCAGCAGGCCTTTAAATGAACTTCTTGGCCACTTAATCACAGCATGGCAATTAACCAGAGTGTCACGCTAAACATATAGGCCAGGTTGTAACCCAGGCAGATACAGTGCAACTATTCTTTTAGTTTCTGTGCTTTTACTTATCGGTCTAGAGCGTACTGACTAAAAACAATATGATATATGGAGATGGATGAAGCGATGGGCAACAAATACAGGAGATTTTGCTACCCTGCTCCTTGGGATTTCATACTTTTAGAACACATACAGTGCAAAATAAAAAATGAAGATGGAGACTAGTAGGAATAAATAACCCCCCTTCCCGTGAGCATACATTAAAAATCAGAATGTCCTCTAGAGGGCAATGTTCTTCTGTGTTTAATTTAGGAATATTATCTTGCATTTTATTTTAAAAGAATAGCGCTTTATGGAGGATCATTACTCAAAAAAAAAAAATGCACTAACAATGCTACTTAGAAAACACTCTAAAATTTTCATATCCACCCCTCTCCCTTACCACAATTATTTTGAGATTACTACTAGAAAAAAAGAGCTCAAGTTTTTCATTGTGGAGACCCTGGACTTACTCACATGCTCAATGGACGGTTTCATTGAGTTATAACTTACGAGTTAACTGAAACTTATCCCAAACCAACCAGTCTTCAGAATGAAAGAACTCATGACCCCATCTTTAAAGCAAAGCTATTTCTAATCACCAAAAATTCATGCCTCAGCTAGATTGACATACATCAAATCATCAACTGCTTTACTTCCTGGTGCTCACTGTTCAAAGCAAATATTTATCAGAGGTTGAAAGGGTTAAATAACTTGCTAATACCATTCAAAGTCTATTCTTAGCTTCCAGAAGGACTTAGTGATTTAGAAATAGGATCATGGTATTTGATTCATAGTTTCTTTAGTCAATTTATTAACTATCATAGACTCTAACTGGATTAATGGTATGCTATCAGCTGTCACAATGTTACGCAGAATTTAGCGTCACGTCTTACTTAAAGGTGTTCTCGTCATTAAATTTCTAACAAGTAGCCTCCACAGACAGACATTTTTAAGTAATGTCTTTCTGAAAAACAGATATATATTGTTCAAGTCTAGGGAATATGAGATTATTAAAAGGAAAGCAAGGGCAGGACTGATGAAAAGAAGAGAGGAATAGAGTGCAAGAATGATGACTACACCTAGGACTGTAAAACTGAGTTAAGATCAACTTCTTGAACATTCAAAGAATTTTCCAAATTAAAAAATATTTGTTAAGTAGATCATGTGAACCATTCCTAGAAGTCTGAATTAGCTCCTCACTGGTATCAGTAGCAGGCAGGCTGCTAGAAGAGAATCGTTATCTCCATGTGTATACCCTTTAACACTTTTTAATGTCCTCTTGTCCTCTGCCTATTTAAAAACTACTATCAAGGGTCGATTTAAGAAATACCAAATTTAAAATCCAAGAGCAACTTAACAAATTTAACAGAAAACCACATTTCTTGTAACGTTTGACATGCACCCTCTCCCATACCTCACAATACACCAAGGCTCAGAACTCTGAAATCAAGTAACAACAGATTTATTGAGAAGTTAGTTTTTAGAAGCCAGGCATACTCACAGCTTCTATTCTTAAGCCATGTATATCTAGTTATTCCAAAATAATTGATGTAGCTATCTTCAGCAGTTGTAACAGAAATATGCTATTGTTTTCCTTTGTTGTTTATAAGTCACAACCTGATACAAACGTCAGTTACTTTGCTGGAAGTATGTAATATATGCCACTTTGTATAGCATACATTATGCAGTGGGATGCTGTTATGTTTCTGTGCACACTGCAGATGGGCAATAAGACTGACTTTGATAGTAAAAGGAACTCTTTTTTTCCCAGTTTAACTCTTGCATGGAGTTACAGCTACCATAAAAAGACTGTTTCTTGAACAGTAGTTTATGCTATTAAAACTACTTTTAACTCTTAATACAGAGCAGACTCATAGGTAGGTGCAATAAAATCCATGTATTAAAAAAACAAAAGACTTATTTAAAAAGGATGAAAGATGTTATTCTTAAGTTTAGCTATTCCAGATAAGTGAAGAAGAGGTTTTTTTTTTTTTTTGCTTAATGATCTGGCTTCCTTTTTGCTCACTGTACTGATTAAAAGGTTTATGTAGACAAATAAATGCTGTTCTTGCAATTCTAAAAGGCTAGCAGTAATAGCTATCATTTCAAAGTACTGTAGAAGATACACAGACTCTACTTTCAGTGCCCGGGAATCTGAATGACACTAGAGTAACTATTTAAACATCATGAGGTAAACCTGAGGTTTATCAGAAAGCTTTATTAGGTAACCAATACTAAACTTTCCAGAACTTTAGCTATTTTAAAACCTAATCCAGATGTTCAGTTAGGATTCTTTATAGAATAGATTTAAAAGTCGTTGCATTTCATTTAAAAGGTTTTATGATTTGATAAAATTTTGGGTCTTGACTTGCACATCCAAGGCTTCCGTAACTTCTCTATTTGAGATGGGCACTTCTGGATTAAAATGGACAGGCTAATTTCAGAAGGCAAAGTCTACTCTTTACAAAGCTGTTACTACCACCAAAGGGCAACGTTTCAAAACCAATTGTTTACGCTAAGCTCCATTATATTATTTTCCAATTTGGGGGGTTTTATTTTTACATGCTTTTAAGACTTTCTCAGCTTTAATCTCTGACATCATAATCATCTTCACAACAATTATGCCATTACAAATGGAAGATTTTATCTTTAAGAGAGAAATAAACTGCCTGATCGGAGGTGTAAACAGCTGAGAAAAGTTCCTGGTGTTACACAAGGGTACAAAGTAGTAAAAGCATGGGTATGGCGGAAGAAATTCTACTTAATATTAAATCAGTGGGAAGTCTGACCTTAAATAGGGATCAAGATTTCATTACACTAAATAAATACTGAAAACATACAAGAACATAAAATATTCCCAACGTTCATGGTTTTTTTCACTGTGGCACCAGCCACTAAATTTGCTGTTATAGTATGTCTGTAATATGACAGTGACACATATCATTTTACTATTTGTTACACTCAAAATAATAACAAAACCCCTCTAAATACGGAGCACTGTTTTGTTCTAGTTGCATTCTGCTTCGAATGCTTCCTAAGAATACCACTTGCTACTATTTTCTTCAGAATAGACACAAGTAGAACTACATTTCTGCTGCTTTACAAGGGAGAATCACACAATTCTCTGAGGGCCCTGAGAAAGAAATACTTTCAGTTTCAATGGTCGAGGCAGAGGAGACGGTCGCGTTCACCCTTAACTGCCTGTCGTCTGTGTAGGTGCCCAGGTCAATGGCTCTCAACTGTAGCAGATCTCTTTTGAATAAAGCGGTAATATAAGTATTCATCCCGAAATTCAAATTCATTCGTAATATGCTGCACGATGCCTCCTTTCACCAGTCTGTCTCCATACATCACAGCTTCACCACGGTCGGAGGCAAGGCCAACTCGCATGAGCCAGTTTACCAGGTCACAGCCAAAGAAGATGCCAGTGGAGATCTTTGCACCACACCTGTATGTCAAAGGAATGATTCACCCACATGTTCTGTAAATCTGGTACCACCACTGCACGATGGGGAAAGGCAAGGAAAAATAGCAGGAAACAAGGAAAGACATCATGATAGTTAAGAGCATGTTAGAAGAGAACTTGTAAGCTTTGCATATTAGGGACATGCCAATGTTCGCTACCTTTTCCTACAGACACTTCAGTGAAAAGCAGAATTTATATACAGAGCTATTTTAGGCCTGTACAAATAAGCTACAATGAACATAAATAGCAATTTTTCTACAAACACACACAGTGCAATTCTATTTATTGGATACTTAATTCCCATGCACTCATTAGAATGACAATTCCTGCAGCAAAATACCTGATTTGAGTGCAGTGTGCCTGCAGCATCAGCAGCTCAAGCTGCACTTTAATGCCGTTTTAGAATTTCTCTTCAGCTTTAAAAAGACACTAACCGCTTATATAAATTGCAAATAAAAATCACTTAACTTATATATTTGGTTAAATATTTACCACAGAAGCAGTACTAAGAATAAAAATAATAACATTTACAACAAGACTAAACTAATTTCCTTTTACATATTTATGAGGCAATACCACTAACATCTAGCTAGTAGCAGTAAAAATACCATTTGGAAGTTTACCTGCAGCAATGAATGTTTCTGGTTATCTAAAATCTGCTCTATGGAACCCAAGCACAGGGTTTCTGAAGAGGATTAACAGCTATGCAAGACAGCAAAAACCAATGACCTTCTTTCTCTATTTTTTAAATTAAAAGCAGCGGGGACTTAGAGCAAGTGTTAACATCTATTAGCAGAAAAACAAAAAATAAATAAAAACCATCATCACAAGGTCTCAGTTACAGTATGTTTAAATCAAAGAGGATTAGGATCAAGTTAGATGTATATTTAAAATAAGAAAATATATGCTTTCTTTTAACTTGCAAGGGGAAATAAAACATGAAACTAGTTCCGGACAAACATAACATTAAAAAAGCTGAGCAGCCAATGTCAGATTTAGGTGTATTCTCAGATGATATATGATAAAAAAAAAATAAAAAAATCACAAAAAAACCAACCAGCAAGCGAACAGCCAAAAGCCCCAAAAAGACAACGTGAGCAGGAGCACAGGAAACCACAGATGTAAAATCTGTCCTATTTCACAACAAACACGTTCTGGTACATCTTTTCTGTCTGGGCATGAAAGAAGCAAGCTCTTGAGCTGCCATAGCTCATCCTTCTTAAAAGTATGGATAGCTTATTTTATTTCTTATACAACATTACTGACTTCTGGGAAGACTGAATGAAATCATGGTTGAGAACAGCCAATACTGCCAACAACCAGTTCTGGAATGTGGTTTCAGATTATCCAACCATTAAAAAGAAAAAGCAAACAAAAAGTCCTACTTAAAAGCTCACAGCACAAGAGAAGTGGAAGTACTTTATTAGAACATGTCTCAACTTCATATAATAAATATTTGAAAACAGGAAGAATATTTTCTTTATCATCTTGCCCCCGCTGCTTCTGTCTGCATTTCTCCTCTTCTCATCTACATACTTGAATACATAATTCTCAATTTGGGTAGCATACTTCAGGTCTGAAAGCTTTGGTGATTTCACAAATTGAGGATTACAACTCATGAGAGGAATGAACAAAAGAAATTACATGAATTCCAAAGGAGTAAAGGTCCTAAAAACACTATAATCTCACATACTGAGTGGCATCCGAGAACACACGGACTTCAGTTGCAGCAACATGCCCAAAAGCTTTTGCCTCCTGCAAAGCCTCTTAGTTAGTAAACATTCTCTCATATGTATACTGACACCTTCTTAATCCTAAAACAAATGGAAACTAAAAAGAAAACATTCCAAAACACTGGAATATTTAAAACAGAGAATTGTTCTTAAAGGGAAGATTCACTCAAGTTGACAAAACTTCACAGACTTAAACTCTGGTAGAGCCACTGCGACATGCATTTCTTCAGAAAGTTTCTGTCTCCTAAACTACAGCTAAATGCAAAAACAGGCCGTGTTTTAATGACAAGTTATGAAACTTTTGATTACTTGCATAAAACCTAGATAGGACAACATGGTAATTGGAACTTCAACGCTTCAGTCTGAGACTTGGAAACATTTCTCTAAATGTCACTGCTAAATTCCTAATCCTCACCCTGATATTTGAATAACTTTGCCACAACAGGAATCATCCACAGAAACCTTAAAACTGCATTTCATTATTCCAAAAGGTGAGCTATGACCCTTATAACAGTTCATACAGGCAAGAGGAAACCTTACCTTCTCCCTCTGACAATACTTCTGACACAGTGATCTCTGTGATATTGAACAAACTGTTGACAAGTCATCCTAATTTCCTCAGGAAGAGAGGGATCTGCATGTCCTGCTGTTTCTCTACCTCCCCAGAGAAATTCAAGTCTCAAAAATAATAAAGAGAACAGCAAAAAACAGTGAGTCAACAAATGGCACTTTAAAAAGAACAGGAAAAAAAAAAAAGAATGCAACTCATAGGAAGGTTGGCACAACTGGTTTTGTGCCCAATATTTATATACAATCTTCCTAATATATTATTGCCTGTGAATACTCAGAGGTTTTACTCCAGGCTTAAGCAGAAGGAAAGAGAGAAAGTAGTTGGGAGCCCACTCTAGCTGCTGGATTCACACCACAGCCAGCTAGCTGTCAGTCAAAGATGGCTTCGTACCACTTTATGCCTTTACACTGAGGTGCAGATTAAAGTCTCCATTCACACAAAGAACTTCCATTAGGTCATGAATACAAGACATTAAAACAGTGATGACAGAATTTGGTTCAGCATTCATATCTAAGGTTTTATTTACTAACTGAAATTACTCTCACTGATCCAATCACATGTAAGGTTTTATTTATTAACTGAAATCACTCTCACTGATCCAATCACATGTTGCACAATCATTAGATAAAAAAAGATTTTGTCTATGGGGATCCTGTGGGATTTTTGCCTATGGGAGTGCCATAGAGAGACAGCAATAAACTCTCACGCACAGTGAACTGCAATTAGCTCTCGACATCTAGAAGAGTAGGAAAATTTGGAAAAGAAAAAAAGATAGGAAATAGAATAAAAACTGAGGTGGCAGCAAACATTCAAACCTTTTTCAAATGATAATTATTAAGTTTCTAGGTATATGTATAAAGATTCTCTTTACCTTCGCTTGAATGGCAGAATGATCAAATGCTTATCTAAGCCAAAAATACCAAAGGAAATAAAGCCCTGGAGGAAGAATACAGAAATAGTAACATTAAGAACATACTTCTGTTTTGGTTTGTAAAGAGCAGAACAAAATGCTAACAATTCATTGCCAAAAAGCTTTTGTGTGTGTGTGTGTGTGTGTGTGTGCGCGCGTGTGTGCGCACAAGCACGTGTGCACACATGCATAAATATATAAAGAAAAAAAAGCTTTTCTTCTGCCAGAATACATATGTAAAAAGAATCTTTTTTCTCTGCACACCACTAGAAGTGGATTTTGTTTCTTTTTTTTCATTTGAGCCTTAAAAAGATTAACATGTAACATTCTTTCAAAGAAACTCTCCAAGAAACAGAGTTCAGTAAGCCTACTGCTCCGATATCCATCTGATATTCAAAACATCAGTAGCCTTATGTAACTAGTTACGTAAATCTCTCCCTATTATTGTCAAGAGGAGAACTGACTGATTGCAATTTACATGCTACGATACTCTCCAATTAATTCCTTTTTATGCACTGCCTTTGGATCAAGGCTAGTATGATTACTGGATATTGCAACGCATCTTGTTGGCATGCTTGACTGTGGATCTGAAAAATACTCCTCCTGTATTGACACTAAGACTGCCTTGCCTTTCTCACCCTCAGAGGTAACAAAGCTAATTTGTGTTCTTTTGCACTGAAATAGATTAGGAACGTTTATACATTTAATTGTCAGGCATTAGTTAATAGAGCAGTAACCAAAACTAAAGAGGCAATAATTTATAGCCTTATAGACAAAACATCCTCATAGCGCCCTTGCACCCGTTTAGTTATAGTGCAATTTCACAGAAGTTACACGGGTGCAACTTTCTGGTACAGATAAGGCTAAAATCCTACCCAGTTTCCACAGGCATTTGGCACTCAGTTGTCCTTTGTGCCTTGGAAAGTGTTCATCCCGAATGCACATCAAACAACTGTGTCATGATAAGAAAACTATCAAGGCAAAAGAAAAAGTTCAGGAAAACATGCAAAAAACCACGAGGAGCTGCTATATCAGCACTGTTTGAGGACTTCAACTTATATTGCCTGTTACAACATGTGCTGCAGCACCCACTAACAAAGTCAGCGTCAGAATAAACATTGATAAGTACCTGGCCAAAATTAAACACCGCACAAAAGAACTGCAGCTCCACATAAAGCCTTCCAGGTTCTTGGTTGAACAGCCACCACAAGCAACTGGAAAGATTCTGTTGAAAAACAAAACAAAAAACCATAAACCAAAATAGACTCTCAAAAGCAAGAACACTTTCTTATTCCTCACACAGTAACAGAGTCTTGCTCAATTTTTACTGTCTTTATGTAACAAATAATTCAAATAAAGACAAAAAAGAGGGAATAAACATCTTAAAACATCATTTTAGTTACGTTTAATAGCTATAACAAAAGGAGTGTGTTTGATTTTAAATAAAAACAACAAAAAAAGGAAAATATCAGTACAGCGGTCCTGCCCTTTACCATGTTCATATAAGGAACTTGTCCTAAACATACTTAGGTAGTCAACCTAAAAGAGATAAATACTGCAAATCTGTCTGGACCAATATTGTCTTTAGACCTGTTTAGCTGAGACCAGTGCTTTGTACACGTTTTCTACATAGTTAAGATTGTGTTAAGCTGAAGCACATACTACACTTCAGATATTCTAGATGCCTGATAAAAGAAAAAACCCTCCAAAGTTAACCCATGTGTGTAAAAGCTCAATTTTGTAATACAACTGTTCTCATTTCATAGCATCTAAGTGATCATTCAGCTACAACTAAAACAGAGTCTGAAAGGTGGGGCACCTCATTACCTCTAAAGACGTAAAATATACATATATTGGCATGAAATATTTGATACAGGAAAACCTTTAATAAGACCTGAAAAGTAACAACAGCAGCTGTTATGCCACTTTCCTGCACTGCAGTATGATATATTTGTGCCCAGTATTTTTCCATTTACAAGCAAAAAATATTTTCTCCTTTACTGTCACCAATTAAAAAAAAACAACTTTGAGCATTAAATTCAAACTGAAAGAGTTGTTTCTCATCCTTGTAACAGCTAATAATTCAAATTATAACCCTGATGCATTACATTCTGGTACTTCACACTTCTACACAGGAGCAGTCAGCTCCACAACTGGATCCAATCAATAGCAATGCCCACATGGCAATACCAACTTAGTTATGTTGTCCCCAAACCACTATCATAAGTAACAAAACTGTATTTTTTCCATTTTAAATAAATTCTTACGTTATCTTCATTACTTCATTTCTGTGAAAGAAATGCAATTCAAATCTCAGTGTGATTAGATGACGCCATTTTTATATACTTTTTTTTTCAGAAGCAGAATTCACTTTTCCATTTTAAAATTGATTATTGGCTAGGGAAGAAGAGTAACTCTTGAGAAAAACTGAAAGAGGGGCAGCAGCGATGAATTAATTTGCTAAAGATATAACTCAATTTTTTCTTCTCCTTCAGTGTTCTCCAGTGTGGTTTTCTCACTAGCATCATCAGCGTTTACTTTACGCAGCACAGCACAACTAATCTTACAACGTCCCCCTTCCAATAAGGGACCAAAATAAAGCCTCTAATTTATTTAATGTATTGCTACAAAAATCAGGAATTGTCTGTATAGCTTTCCTGAAAATCATTCCACATCAATGAGTTAATCAACAGCAGGAGAAAAATATTTACAGCAAACAGGCCAACAATGAGAAGTAAACACAGCAACACATGTCTGGCCAGCTGTTTGTCTCCAGTCTGTAGAAGTTGCTCTTCCTGTGCCAATATGCAAGTTTGAGCGCTGCACTGACTCACACACTGATCCGCTGAAAAACAAACCAGAATTTTTCATTAGGCTTCTAACTTAACAAGTATGGCCTATCTCTAACTCCACGAGCAAACTTGTTAAGGTATTAATGTTATTTGCTGAGATTACTTTGCAAGTATCTGTACTGAAGTTACAAAGTTCAGTGCAAAAATTTTTGCATTAGCTTTGTCAATAACCTGTTCAGACATCTATTCGCAAATGAAACAGTTGCTTCCATGTACTCTAAAATAAAATAAAATAAATCAAAGAAACTTTTTGCAACACAAGTCCTCTTTCAAAGGTTTGATGCAAAACTTAAGTTGTGGTTAACATTTAGAAATTACTACAAGAAATAATGAAAAATTAACAACTTCTCAGGGCAAGTTTTTAAACCTAGAATTAATTTCTGGAGTATATATTTCAAATATACTATCAACTCTATTTTTTGTTATTCTGTATCTCAGCCTTGCTGAGCTCTAGATCAGAAAACTAACCCTCTCCTATTAAAAACAGTTCTGTGACTGTATTTCTAAAATGGTATATCAAAGCGTTGTCACAATTCTATCAATCAAAAAGCCAACTACACAGCAAATGGGTGCTTTTCTTCTGGTTAGAGAACTTAAAAGAATTCTGAGCATCTTCCAGCAGATGGCAGTAAAAAACTTCCTGGCAAGAAAATTTGCACTAGATACTTGTCATAGCAATTCAATGAGATAGTAGAAGGATTAGTAATTATTGTAGCTAAAGCTACACAAGTGTACCCGTTACAATTTGCTTTCACTCATTTGTAGGTTTGTAGTATTCACTTAGTAGGCAGAAATATTCCCACTTGATCATACTTGAGATAAACGGTATTTTATCTTTTACAGTATGAAAATTAAACTTGCCTTCTTCCATCATTTGAAGGCATTCTTATGATGCTTGTCTGAATTACTTTACAGAAAAAAAAAGTTGAGAATAAGTATAAAGGGTATAAAGTTAGGCGTATGTCTCACAAATGCTAAGTATGTTTCAATGGGAAATAATTTAGATTTGTTTAAAGTTATTCTGCATCCAAACAGCGCATACGAAAACAAACTTTCCTATTAAGGATGCAAAAACAAGAAGAAGAAAATAAGGAAAAAAGAAAGGCTGCGCTGCGGATACTTTTGACTATTGAAAATGATGTAAGATGAGAATGGGCTGAACATGCAGAATTTTCCATCAGGTGCTGGACAGTCTCTTTGATCTATTTTACTGTTCCAGTGGTTCTTAAGGCCTTCAGTCACTTTTCTCCATCTCTCCTTCCCAGACATAAAAAGACCATGATGCTGTATTATTCATCTAGTCCTCAGTATGTGCTTTCTCTGGGCGTGACTAAAATATAGGCTTTAAAGGCCTTTTTAGAAGACCAAAGATGTGAATATGAGATTGTCAAAAACTGCTAAAATTGAGGGGGTGGGGGGTGATATGCATTCAATTTCTCGCTGTCCAAACAAGTGAATGATAGAGAGGTGAAGCTGAAACGCTTGGAAGGAAGCGTTAAAGTGGTAAACAAAAATTGCTCATCTTGAGCAACGAAAGATTACTAATAACTGTCAAGTAAAAGAGAAAAAAAAAAAACAAAAAAAAGACAAATGACATACTACCCAAGACTTGTATTTAATATGAAATAGAAGTTATCCATGTAGGGCTGAGAGAATAACAGCCCAAATAGTTTCTTTGTGAGAACACCACACACAAACGCTGTGGAATGATATCAAACAAAGACACACAATTGTATTACCTGTCTCAATTGGAGGAATCTTGCTTTCAACGGCATTTGACACTGCTTTGTTCTCTCTAGCACAGGATAATTCACCATTTGTTGTTTGACAAGAACAGCAGCCTATTAAACATGTATAGTAACAGGACAGTTAGTTTCCTTCACTACTATAATTCATTTTTTAAGTGCAACAATACATACTACACAGCTGCAACTCTCATGCTCACAAATAACTTTAGAGGAAAAAGCAGTCATAACTCTTCCAGTTTGCAAAGAGGGCACACGGGTCACACTTTTTATACACAGAAATATTTAACATAGGACTACTACTGTGGAAGCAACACAGGTACTTTTAACTATAGGGAAAAACATGAGGTAAATGACTGAGACGCTCAACACAGACAAGGAAGATTAGAAATACACTGAGCAGCAACGTTACAGGTGTACAATTCATTCTGAAAGAGATAGTTTAGCAGACAAACAACCTAAGATGCCTATTGGACTGCATTTATCACACACTTATCACGACACCACTACTTTCATAAAAACATACACACATGCTTTTTTTCATAGCCACTTCTCCCACCCATATAGTGATAACCACCAAACTTCCCTTAGAAACATAAACCTAAATTCTCGGATAGCTATATCTAGATTTTCTTCCATCCCAGAACAGCGCTTCAAGTGGTAAACAACAATCCTTCCCGGGTCAGAATTCAACTCAACAGAACTCTGTTGTAGCCCAAGCCATTCATGTGCTATGCATCCACTTTCTCTACCTCTTTCCACAGACAGATGTGCAGAAGGTCCTGCAGAAGGCTTTGCAGAGGTTCCTGCAGAAGGCTCAGGCGCTGTTGTTGATACCTGATTTCCCTCACTCCCTTCCACTTCAACCTCCTCCACTTGGCTACGAGGTGAATATGGGTTCAGTATCTCATAGTTTGACTCCTGTCTACTTCTGTTCATGCACATAAGTGAGATACCTGACATCAATATGCTGATAAACAGGATCACTGCTGTGGTAATTATCTGTTAAGGGATGAAAGGAATTACATCTAAGATAAAGGAAAATACCTGCATTCGTATCTAACTTCAGTACTTTTCAGATGTATTGATTGGAATATTTAGAATAGACACAGAGTTTTCCATATTTACTGCTCTTGTAGCACTGAAAGAATACTTAGTACAATAGACTAATTCACTTTCTCAGCCTGAGTAACCCAGCTCCTTTTTCTGATTTTTGGTTCCTTTTTAATGGGGACATGTTTTACATAAATTTAGTATTTTCCAAAATATTTCCTATGAAATCCAAAAACGTTCTCTCGTCATCACCTTCCCTCCCCTCAGGGCCATTAGTGCTCCATTCTAAGTCCTGTTTACGTGCTTTTTAATTCCAAAGAGGAACGTGCTCTTGTCTCTCTCTGGCACGGCTCTATTTTCGATGCTTTCTCCAATGGGGAACATCCCATTAACCATCCTTTCTATCTGATTATCTGCCACCCATGCCCAGAGTCCACTGTGAGACTATTTAGTACTTATCAAAGTGCCATGAATAATCCTGAGCAACTCATAGCCTCTCAATCCATAAGAAACGCAAAGCGAAAACAATACAAATATCTGCTCTAGCGCACTTCACATCCCTTGTTAAGAGGAACTATTTATTGGTAAAAACTGTAGTTCGGGCTCAGGGACTTTCAACCCTTGCCTGAGCAGAGAAGTCTCCCATATAGCAAGTCGTTACTGCTATACATGTAATGCAGATCCTATCTGCTACAGACCAAAAAACATTAACTAACTACTGGATGGTAAGAATTTTAGATAGTTATCAAGCTAAACTACAGAGTAGTCACCAAAAAAAGCATGCTGTGATTCATTACCACTCCTAGGACTCTTTTAGGGGGTAGCCTACTCCCTCTTTTTCTCTAGTCAGAGCTGCCTAAACATGAAGGTCCTTGTTTAAACAAGTTTTTATAATGGTCAATTATAGATATACATTTTTATGTCAATCTACAATCTTCTATAATGATTGCTGTTATGACAACCTATGCTTTGACTGAAAGCTACTTACATAAGAAGGAACCAGAGAACACAGTTTCTCCATAACGTATTGGACAAGGCAGAAGTAAGAAGAGAGGAGGACAAAAACATTCATACCTGATGTTTTCCATAAAAAAAGGCAGAGTCAATGCTATCGTTGTTATGTTCACCAACTATTAGTAAGATTCCCACCAGAAGTGTTGGGATACTGAAAGAACAAAATACAAGCAAAGTAGTTTAATTACCATTCTCCCACTTATTTTACAGGGAAATGGCTATACTAACTTACCCCCATCCAGCTATGATAATAAACCCTATGGGAATCTTTACTGCTTCTCTCTTCTTCAACAAGAACAAAGAGAAAGACAGAAAACCTAGGAAAAACAAAAGAAATGCCTTGATTATTACTAGACAGGGAAGTGACAATTACAGAATCTAGACACTCTATGATATGACCTGCTCAATAACTAAGATATTCTTTCTTCAGACCTTCTAATAGCCTAAAATTGTTTTTCTACGTTTATTCTATCCAAGTAAAATAGAAACACCTATTACCTTCAAAAAGAATATTATTAATGAAACATTGAAGACATTTTGGCACACTTCCTATTAAATTTGCACTTATAAATACTTAGTAAAGTTCACAAATGTGTAACAGATGTGAAAAGAATATTTAAGACATAACTAATTTATTACTATATCAATAACGGTTGTTCTAGACTGACAATATTAAGTTACCAGTTTGACACGTTGTATTCTGTAATAAGATATCTCTTAAAACTGATTACTCCTTTATAAAGTTAATTTTTGTGACGTTTGCATTTATCACTGAATTTATTTTTACATATATAAGTATGTACGGGTTTATCTTCCGGGTCTGCCAATTCTATTCACAACTCAGAAGCCTGGGAATATGTTAGGTAATTCACTAACAAAAACTTATTGACCCCAGACTATTTACTGTATTGCATCTCAGCTCCCCAGCCTGTGGGTCCTATCTGTGGGCCACTCTCTCGTAAGGGGAGATGACGAAGGAAAGAAAAAAAGGCGATAGTGGGAAGTAACAAAGACAGGAAAAACTGGGAAGTCAAAAAGACATAAGAGGCAACAATGTAGTGAATAGATAATATACAGGCAGGGCATTCTCTGATGAAGAGAGTCACTGCCAAAGACAAAAGCGAAGGCAGGCAGTTGGACTGTGGTTAAAATACAGCTCTCCTGCTGCATTTTACAAGGTTAGTGTAAATACAAGGTTTTAGGACATGAACTTTTTTGTAACAAATAGCATGGACAGTACTTGTAGCTTCATGGCTCGTTTCAGCCTTTCACTATGCAGAATGCAACAGGACTTCTTAGCAATCACAGTCCACAGAAGCGTCTCTGGTAAACTTCATTACATTTTGAACATCTATACCTACAAAAATGATCTTCTTTAAAAGTTAAAATAAAAAAGCTCTCTCACAAAGAGCACTTATTGTAGTAGCAAGGTTATCTCATCTAGAACAATAAATTCAACATCTTAGCTTTTAAGATTTAAGGCAACCTTGACACACGTGCCCTCTTTGAGGGACACTTTACTAGGTCCACAGTATACGTGCATGTACACACCCAAACACATAGAGTTTGTAAACATTAATGAACGTGTGGAAAACGAGGCACACAAGTCTTGTAGAATAAAATCTAATTCTCCATGCTGAAGCAGAACTAGTATTTATGTAGGTTATACTAATCAGGAGCTGCCTGTCTGCTAAATGCTGAAACATAACCTACTTCACAAAAGCACCACAGGAATTAAATCCTTAGACTTCTGGATGCAGAAATGGTACATCAAGTCTCTTGAACACCCACAGTCTCTTTTTTTTAAACCATATGTAATAAGGTTTTCCCAACGTCTCTAATGCATCCTGCAACTCTTGTCTACTTCAAGCAGTCCTTTCATTACTCATCTACACCTGCAGAACGTGCACATGCTTTTTAGAACTTGCAGTGGATAGTGGAAAAAAATATATTAAAACGACTTTGGTATTTCCCTTAATTCTGTATTTCCTAGTCTCCTAAGGCTTTTTTTTTTTTAAATCTGCATAATACTGAATAACTTAAGATTTTAAATTCTGCATTAATTAAAATTGTCAATAAGCTTTTGCACTGCTGAAGAGCAACCTGTCACCATTCAGTCTGTTTATAATTGCTTCCGCCTTGAGAAAAGATTCTTGTCACTGGTTACAAGCTAACAATGCTGCTGTATCTAGCAAAGACAAACAAGACCTGTCCAGGCACAAACTACCAACTGCAGAACCAGTGCCTGACGCTCTGGCCTGCGTTGCTAGCACTTCAGCCTGGCAACAACTTACAAGGGTCTACTTACAATATATGTAGAATTACATACAAGTAACTGCTCTGAAGAATATAATCAAATTATTTCAGTATATCAATCTTTTATTACAGTATCTAATGCTCTTCCAAAAAAAATCATACCAGTCCACAGGTAGGTGCTATAAAGTGAGCTGTACAGGAATATAAATACTAGGATCTGTATGGTGATGTCTTTCTCTTTAACAATGAAATTCCATATCACCATTCCAATGCAAGCAATGAACTGAAAAGAAAGAAGAGAGACCATCGTTTGAATTTGGAAAGCAGGATGGCAAGAAAAACTAAGTACAGTGCAGCATAGCTACAATAAGCTTTCAAACTCCAATCCCAGATTCACTGCAGTGTAATTTTACGAATTCAGTAGTTTTCACACCAGTAAAGCACTGGAGCAGTGAGCTCAAATATTTTAGTTATGTCACTGACTATGGTACTCTTTTTTTTTTTTTTTTTTTTCTCCTCCCCTCTCTTAAATGGTGGCGGCACATATATAGCTCAGAGAAACCCAGAATAAGACAAGTCAGGAAAAATATATAACCTTAATCTTTACGTATCTTATAATAAGCAAAATGCAAAGCATATGTTAAACCATTTATCTGAAATGATTTGGACACAAAGCTGAGGCCAACAGGTACTGTTCAACCAAGAATCCTACAAGTTTTGACCCTGCGATACCTCATATATGACAGTTTTAGTATTGAAGGAATCTGAAGAAATAGGTTTCAAAGGTATTACAATGGCTCAAAAATATTTTAAAGTTAACAAGCACAGGCTGGTCTCACTGAATTTAATAGCAGCTTTGCATTTGACTTCAATGAAAGTAGGAGCATGTACTCTATATAGCTTTCTCTAAGGTTAAAGAAGAATTAAAATTAATATTGCTGTTTGGCTCTGCCCTTCCCTAGCCACCAGCCATGAATTCCCATGCCTCCTCCTTGCAACAGCAGTGGCACCCGCCTGATGCCCTAGCGAGTCCGGTCACGGACCTAAACCAGCATTCGGGTTAGTTTCCTGTTCAGCTCCTTGAATCGGGTCACCCACACGCTGCTGGTCACCATGGCATTGCTGACTTCAGACTGGCATAAAGTGACATGAAAATGCCAACAAAACTATTTGAAAGTAACTTATAATGCTAAAAATATAATTCAGAAGCTATTCTCCATTCCGATTGTTTATAGTTCTGTTTCAGACACTGCTCCTTCAGATATACACTGCCACCCCGAGCATCGTTTAACTCTGCCAAGAGTACGTTCTAAAGCATATCAATTATTTAGACACATCACACATTAGATTCCCCTGCCCTCAGACAACTACAAAGATATGATTATAGAAAGCAATCTTGTAATAACATTTAAAATAATATTTTTTTTTTTTAAAAAGGCATTCTTCTCACTACTGACCTGAGCAACAAGCAGATTTGTTGTAATCATGTGAGGAAGCTGCTTGTATTTCTTACTCAAAAGAACAACAATAAGAGACCAGATCTGGAACACACAAGATAAAATTGAATTTAAGACTGAAAACAAAAAACAAAAGAAGAAGAAGAACATCCTGGCAAACTATGCTGGAATTAAACATGCAACAAAATCTTCTTGACAAGTTTCTTAGTATCATGCCTAGTAGAGTCAGCTCCACACCATCTGCTGCCAGTCCCACGCTACAGAAAACACGGCCAGGAAAAGAAATGCATTTTTGAGTTCTCATGATGGTGAAGTATTTCCTGGGAGTACCAAGGACTCATCTATAACGTGCAGAAGCCTGGGTGATCCTGAGGACAATGATATGCAAACCCATTTAAGTCTTCGGGAATGAACATGAAGCTGCCTGGCAATTTGGCTTTTAAAAAGTCTTCCACCCCACCCCTTAATCTGCCAAAATGACTTGTGACAGCAAGGGGCATTCTTCACATGCTGCTTCCCTTGATGCATAGTTTCACGACGCGAGGATTTCAGCTAAACACCAACTTGAGAAAATCCCAGCCCCCTCCAACGTGTAAGTTTTTATTTTAAAAAAGCAAACAAAATAAACACTATTTATAGCACCTGTAAAGCCAAAATACAATTCGCATTGGAAATCTGGGATGTCATATCCCTTTTTAAGAACTTGGTAACCAGAATTTTTAGGAAATCGAATTAATAAAGCTAAATTAAAACTTCCCAATTAAATACTCTCATTAATACTCATCAATGAGTCATTAATTAAATATTCATTAATGTTTCAGGAGCTTAAATTCCAGCTGAAGTGTTTACATAGCCCCCAACACTGTGATATTCAAGCACAAGCTTTGATATAATTATTCCCTGTGAGGTAAACTAGTACTGGTATGTTATTTCGCTTTGCCAGCACCTACCAGGGAAATGAGGCTGACGATACTTATGTCAAAGCTAACATTTTGGAGTGCAGATGCCAGCGGGTTGGGATCCATAGATGGGATGGTCAACAGCCAAGCAGAAACGTACATGATAGGAGCAGACACAAAAGTGCTTATCACCATGCCTGAGGTAATCTGCACAAAGAGTCAAAAAGAAACAAGAGCAGAGTTAATCGGATCTCAGGTGGAATAATCTGTCTTTAGGAATACACAGACTTGTAAAATTATGCTTGTGACTTAAACATACATAGAGCTTTAACAAATCATTGAGTAGCTTCCACGACAAATCAGTTAGAATTTGAGCCAGGAAGTACCCATTTTATACAGATGGTTAAACAGATTTTTTTTTTTTAAGAAGCTTCTGAAATAACAGGAATACAGAGTCCCCCACTGCAAACTCTTACAAAGCTTTTTCACAGATGCCAAAGACACTATTGACTCCAATGTAGGAGTGGATCTACAATGTCACAATTTATTTTTGAATGGAAATATTCACACTTAAAATAAATAAGCAATGTGTAGCTATGCAAATACTCATAAGAAATTGATGAGAAAAAGCAGCCAGATGTATTAACATATAAGTGATTTCTATCTTGATTTTTCATTGTTTTCTTCTTTTTAGCTCTTCTTAGAATTTGCAGTGATGGAATTGTGAGTTTTAAAACAGAGATCTGTAGTAGAGTAAAAGATTTCCTGAGACTGTTGAGAACAAAACTGTTGAGCTCTACAAAGCTCTACTTTTAGTGTCCATTTCTTGCCAAAATGGATAACATTAAAAAACAAGGAAAATCAAGAGGAATATTTCATCATTTCAACTGGAAAAAAACAAACAAACAAAAAAAGGAAACAGTTATAAGATTTATACCTTAAGTTAAAAAGGTAATTGATAAACTCTATGTTAAAAAAGCCAAATTCATTTCTACCACAAGATTTATCTGGAGGGAAACACAACAGAATCGGTTAAATCCAAGATTTTCCAGAAGTTTTCAGCAATAAGTCAACACCGTTCTCACTGAAATCAGTAACAGCTTTTGATTTTTTACAACCAAAACAGCAGCTCAAAGATAAAGTTTTTGAAAAAACAAGGATACAACTTCTTTATATTCAGAGTTATTCTAGTTCTTCCTATTAGAAACATGAATAAGAAAAATACAAGGACTTATTTAAAAACCTGTTCTATTAAGGCACTTGAGACACCTGGAAAATTACTTTGGTTAATCAATAATGTGAAATATAAATCAGATTTGAGATCTAGGGAGAATAAATAAACCTAGCGAATCTATACTACAGAAAAGTAATTTCATCAAGCTTTTTAAAACAAATTGATCTATAAAATTAAGTTCAAAGTTAACATAAGTTGATGAGGAGCTAATTACATACAATTCCTACTTCCATGTTGAACTGAGTTGCAAATATTGCCACGCCAGGCGCTGCTGGAAAGACTCCATAAAGAAATGCATAGTTTGATAAACTGGTATGGTTGACTACATCGTCACTCTTGTCCAAGAGTTCCACCATTTCTCTACAGAGAAATGGCATCATAAGTCTGAAAAGAGTGAAAAAAATTACTCAGCCTATAGCCGTGGACTCCACTTCGCTCAGAAGAGGAACTAACGGACGTCTAAGGCCTGAACACTATTTATGACAAGTAAAATAATGACATCACTTTTAATGATTGTCTTTACTGCTACCATGACATTTACCAGCTGCTTCCAAATGTGGTGTCACAAGTTAAAACTGAAAAAATCATACACAAAAGAAATGTTAAAAACCACACCAATTAACTTCTGAGATACGTTTTCTAACGGTCAGATACATTCTTTGTACGACTTCAGTTTTCAATACATAAAATACAAAAACAAAATTCAATTTTCAACTGTTAAAGTAGTAGCAGCTATAAACAGTCACCAGCTATGAAACTTAGACCACATTATTAAGGTCTCTGACATGAAAGAAGAGCTCACGTTTAAGTGTTCAGTTCTAAAAGTCTTTGCCGCGCAAAAGAGCCTCGATTTATGCTATTTTGTTTGCCCTTAGCAATATCCTGGATCTTATATAGATTCGCTCTGCAAGCCTTACATAGGCATACACACGCTCACCAGCAGAGCAAAGTGATAACATTAATAAGCATTCATTTTTCCCATGTTCTTTGCATGTGTATCATTGATCTAATTTACAAATTAGTCTTTAGTTAATTGTACTGATATTCAAATCTTCAAATTTTCATAAGATTTTCATATCTTCAAATTTTACAGTATGAATTTCATCAAAATAATAGTTTCATTGTGCAAATTGTCGTCCCAGAGCAAATAAAATACTTAGTTCACCAGTAACCAAGGTATACTCAAGGGAAGATAATGATGGCATAAGCTCTATACAAAAGCTGTCATTTATTCAGGCTCAAATATCAGTTTAAGAGTGTGGTGTGATTGTTTTTCAGCTCTTCCAAAATAGTGTGGGTGATCTAAAGACACAGCGAGCAAAAACAACTAATTTAGAGATGTATTTTCTAGTCCAAAGAAAATGCAAAGGCTAGTCAACTAATACTTACGTTTACTGTTGTCTACCTACTTTACCAGTAAATTTTAATTTAACTCAGTAATTTCCCAAACTGTGATATCATAAATGACCTACAGGCAGTCCATGAAGCCATAAAACCTTTAATTTTTTTTTTTTCCACTGCAGAGCTTGACAACAGGCTTGTGGTCTGAATAATTTTTTTAAGTCAATAGTCTTATACTGTCAAAGTCTTTGGGAAGCGCTCATCTGAAATGCTTGACGTGAAACTTAATACCACTATAAGGATTTTGAGAGGAAAGCTATCTGACCAGTATATTCATAGATTAAACATTTTGAAACATTTTGAAGAACAAAAATATAAAAGTAATAAGTTGAACTTACAGTTTAGCTGTGATGAGAAGGATCAGTGCAACAAACATACCCTTTGTCACTTTTTTTGTTTGTCCCACCATGGTTAGTCCAAGATAAAAAAGTGCAGAGCCAGAAAAGGAACTGCCTAGTCCATCCAGAAAGTTTTCAAGATATTCTGGAATCTTCTGGCCAAGAATAAAGTTTGAGGCAATGCCTATGAAGACCATGAATACAATCGGGTTCTGCAAAACTCGAAGGAGCGCTAGGCCCACTATTTTCATTTTGCTGTGCGACATGGTGCGATTATCCCTCCACTTCTGGATTTCACAGAAGATAAACCCAAGAGGGTTTAACATCATAAGAGATATTGGAGCCACTAGGTAAATGTACTGGAGATATTCTGGGTAAGTGGTTTGATATAAAGCTTCAACTAGAAGACAGGAAATGAAAAGTGATGAGTGATAATTATTCAATATAAAAATAAGTTAACATTGGCATTGATTTTTGTTGTCTGAAAACTAGGGAAAAATTATTGCATCATCCTTCAGAACTAACGGCATTTGCAACTGATGTAAGAAGATATAGTTAAGAGAAGCACTTCTATTTACCATTAGGCCGCAGTCATGTCACGAATATATTAAAGATCGAAGATGAACTATCCAGCACTATTTAATGATTCTACGAATATTCAATAGGTACAGAAAATAAAATCATTCTGAAACAAGGATGCCAGTACTGCTAAGCAACATAAGTAAACCCACATGCCCTTTGAGTCATCCCAAATGCTAAACAAAACAATTGTTTTCATTGAATTGCTCTTTCTCCCCAGAAGCATGGGAGAGTTGTGGAGAATTACAAGCAGGTTTGCAGGATGCAAGTTTGTTTGTCTTCTTAGGAAAAGTCTTACATCTCTGAAAGGTGACCAGTTATCAATGGGTAAGTCAGGTATAATCTTTCTACTCTTATTACATAAAACACAACAAAACAATAACAAAATAAAAAATACATTAGCACAAAATTATTAGTTCATTCTCTGGAACTACTCAGGGCAAGAGCAACGACTGTAGTTCTGGTTTCAGAGCACAACTTGTTTCTGTGACCCTGGGTAAGCTGTTAAATTTTCACAGACGCACAGCTATGTTGTATTTGTGGAGTCTGAAGATCAAGTCATTTACCTCTTCCCTGACTTACTTGGTCTCCCTGTAAAAGGCGTGAGGATACACATTACACTGGCTAGTTATCAGTTTAATTAAAAAAAAATCATAGATCTTGCCATTCTAATAGTCTTCCTTACATCCCCTTTCTTATGTCAGAGAAGGTATTTAAGGCATGGCCAGTGGTTTTGAAGGTTTCAATATTTCTACCAAACACCATCTGGTGAAACAACAGGAAATATAAAAATGGTCTCGGGAAGCTTAATTTTGTATCAGTCTTCCATATAAAAAAAGGTTCATCCAAGTATTTCTGTCACTAGTCTTACGTTTCACAAGTAGTAACTCCATGAACTTGACGTGATTCTTGAAAGTTCCACAAACAGGAGCAGAGAATATAAGGCAGATTAAAAAATATATATATATTATGCTTCTATTTTGCTGAACTATAAATTTACAGAACTGCCAGAAATAGGCTCCACAAGAGAGACAGTGTGGCAGTTGAACACTAACATCTCAGTTAGTGCTAAGAAAAAATTCAAAATCAGTATATAAACCTCAACTCTCTGATCTCGTGGTTTGTGTTTCATCTATTGTCTAGACTAACTTGTTCAGACATGCAAAAAAAGCATTGTGAAGAAAAAGTCTTTTAAAAATTACTTCCTTTTCCCAGCCATCACTAGGGTAGGTAATTTTGTACGTAAACTGAAATCCATTTGTATAAGCATGACTTCAAATAACAACTGAAACAAAATAAAGGAAGAAAAAAAGAGTCTCAGCTTGATTTTTCAGTAACAATTTTGTAACAGTAAATGATGTCAAGATATACCTTTTGTGAGAGACAATAACAAGTTTTCTGAATACTTCTGCCAAAGCAAAGAGCTGCTCGATCCTTTTAACAGACTAGTATCTTTGAAACCAAGAATATCAGATGGGGCCAAGAAGTCAAAATACCTTTGGGGTTTTAGAAGAGTATCCACTTACAAGACTCCTTCTTCAGATATTTTCCTTACATTGCTAGATTAAGCACCTCACTTCCATTCACAGCTTTTTGCATTCCACATGATTAACATTATTCAGAGTACTTAAGTTATTAGCGACTGTTACAGGAGAAGTAAAAGGAATTCAACTATGCTATGCTGCTATGCTGAAATAAAGGAACCTAAACTTGCAACAAATTGCAACCCAGTGAACTGCATCACCTCTAGGAGTCCTTGGTTTACCTCTTCCAGATGAATAATAAAAACTTCACATCCCATCTAACAATGACTTACTTTCAACGTGTACAGAAAGAATATCTTCCGTAATGCATTAAAAACAAATCATTGATACCTTTGCAGAACTCTGAGTTGTACTTTATGTGACTATAAGTAACAACAACACTTATGCAACTTACTTTTTTGTAGCTAAATATAGACAAGAGCAGTGCCTGCAGAGAAAAAAAATATAAGCAGCTTTCCTCACAGCTCTACTTATTTATGTGCATTGCCAAAACATCATCTGCTCCGAATTCCCTTTCTGACATTTTCAAGGAAAGTTATCCTATTGCAGGAGCACTCCCTGACTGTTCTTTTAAACTGTATGCTCATTTACAGGAGAAACGCTGAACTTTTCCTTGAGGAAGTTTAAATCAAGTATTTGTTTTCACTGCTGCTACACATTTCCATTAAAACATCAGGTTTTCCTCTAAACAGAAACAAAACATGACCTATAACCGTAAGAAAAATGAAGAGAAAAGAAAAACCCACAAAAAACAAACTAAAACAAAAAAAGCAAGCCGTTCTTTGTCTAGCCCAGCCTTCCAAACACTTTAGACAAGCCACTAACAGTAAAAAAGCTGCACATGGGACAGCAAAAGCCCAACACTAGCAAAAGTTTGGGGATGAGAGAAGAGGAGAAAGGAAAGGAAAGGACAAGGAAGGAAATAACAGCTCTAAGAAATAAAGAGCTCTAAAGTGCTTATAACCTGTATTATGTAGTGTCAGGCATTCCACTAAAGCTCTTAAGGAACTAAAATTTTTGAATTTGGTAGCATGCCCACAGAAGAAATATCAATCATATCTTAAAAGAGTAAAATATTTGAAAAAAAAAAAAAGTAAACTGACATGAAAGTTGTTCAAATTAGAAAGATGTTTTAACTAAAAAGATACAGTGGAAGTGGATGTAGAGAGAAGGTCAAAGGAAAAGAGAGAGAAACCCTAACTGGTGCTGTAATCCAAGATCCAGAAACAAAGAAGTAATCCTCACAGCCCTATCTGTGCTATTCCCCTTGGGGAAAATCAGAAGAATAAGTCTCAGGAGAAGCAACTGAAGGAAATATGGTATTTTGGTCTAAGGAAGAGAAAGGCAGCAACTGTATTTGTCTATATTTCATACATATCCAGTAATCTTTAAGAGAATAAGAAAGATTCATGATTCTCCTGAGCATGCTGCCCTGGAGTAGGAAGAACAAGGCTGAATACTCCTCCAGTTTATCTAAAACATGGAGCTACTTGTTGCTGAGTATAATCTGGAATTGCACATCTAAGCTTCTGTTTCGTAACTGTATTTTCAATTCTGTGATTAAGTATCTTGCTTTTTACTTTGCTAGATCAAATTTGTTTCCTTTCCTCGTTCTTAACCTCGTCTGAACGATACGAGTATTCTCAAAAGCGTTTGAGAGGCAGAGAGAACTTTCTCTTCAGGGAGCAGCAAACAAATGGAGTAGAGTCCCGGCATCTTCTCCAAATGCCATCCGCTCGAGGTGTATTTTGGAACTGCTGGTACTTGCAGCGTGCTTCTCCCCACCAGCCACAGAGGTCAGCCTAGGGAGAGGCAGCCTCAAAAGCTACACTGGCACAGAAGAATTTCAGAAAGGAGGTATAAACTACTGCGCTTCAGACGGTAGTAGGCAGAAGAAACCTGCCACAACTCCAGGTGGCTCCCTAAGCATCACAGTGCGTATGGCTAAAAGTGTCTAACAAACCATTAACAAAAACTCTAAGAAGGAGGGAAAAAAAATTTTGCTTACCAAAAAGGAAGAAAATAATAGCCTTATAGAGATTGAGATAAAGTTAAGTTTAATGATTTATATTGCTTGAAATTCAAAATAGAGGCTTACAAAACCAAGAGTTCACAGCTATACAAGTTATACTCTGAATACCCCCCCTTTTTCTTTAAAACTCCACTGGACTGATGGTTGTTTACACACAACAAGAAAGGCGTCACCGCAGCCATATGAAATTCCAATTTGAGACACACAAATGCAAATTACTACAAATCATACAATAATCTTGCTTTTAAAGGACTGATTTCCTCCCAGGACATATCCTAAAGCATGTCTGCTAGTTATAGTAGAATAAAGATCAGTGGATTAAACTTGATTTGCAACATAAACTAAGATACGTTAAGTAATACAGAAATTGGATGTTTCTTCTGAACAGATTAAAAGTTTCAGCACATAAATATCACAACAGATAGACATCAATGTTATGCTAGATGATTTCCTTGAGCCAGACCAACAGTTAATGCCAAATTAGTACAAAAAACACTACAGCTATTTCAGAAGCCACACTTATAGGCTCATAGTTTACACAGGAAGGAATTTTGGTCTTGAAAGCAAGTCTGGTAATTTCTCATAAGGACATTCTTAACATGCAGTAAGTGTAAGGTAGCTTATACCAATTTTAAAAGGGTATTTTACCTCTTTTTTTTTTTTTTAATTCCATTTAACTTAATACAACCAGATCACTCAGTCATAGGCAGTTTGCAGTCAGACTGTTTTAAATTTTGTCTCATTCTTGCCAGTTGACAGTTTTCTTCTCTCATTAAAGAGTATATTATCTGAGGGTTTTTTATTTTTATTTTTTAAGAACTTCCTCAAGAGATGTGACTTGAGAAATGGTTTAGGCAGTTCACAACTTCAGTTTAGAAATTCATTTCAAATTGTGGAAACTTAAAAGCAAAACCGTCTAGAGCAATGAAAAATAATTAAAAAAAAAGAAAGCATAAGTAGATACTTACCTATTGGATATCCCAGTGCAAAGTCATTGCTTTGTGTAGCAAAAATTGGAAACAAACCTGCTTTGCTAAATCGATTCTCAGGATTGGCCACCAACAATGTTAAAATGCAGACTAAGAAAAATACAGAAGCTTTGGCAACTAATATACTGTACAGAAAGGACCAATTCACATTAGAAAAGTTAAGTACCACCATGTTTTTGAACAGTAGCGCTGGGAGTGCAAAACGGGAGACAAAATTTCCCAGTCCTTTGGCCTGAGTCGATGTGATAATGTTGGCTCTTCCAGCTATGTACCCACAAAGAATTATTCCGAAGCATTCTAACAGGGCTGGGAAAAGCCTGCTTATTGACATAGACGGAGGACTACTGGTGGTATTGATACTGAGTCCAGTTTGCCCAGGCAAAGAAATGGACATATTAGCTGGAGCTGAGAGGTTCTTTGCACTGAAGTCTGAATAACTATCCATTTCCTTTGACCACTTTTTCCAAAAAAACTGCATGCAATGGTCTCATCTGTAAAATAAAAAAAAAAAGTACTTATTAACTTCTAGATCAGTGTTTGTGCATATTTACAGTATCTGGCTTGCTGACAGAAGTATAAACACTTACCAGTGCATTACAAATTAACAATGAGACAAGTGATAAGTAGCTACAGAGAAAAAACACTGAGAAAGTAAAAAGAAGAAATAAATTCTATATACATAGCATTTTTTTCCACAAATCCACACAATTCACCAGGAAGAGTTGGACGATACAGGGACTAAAACGTCAGATCTCAACTTGAAACTTGAGGATAAAACTGAAATATTAGAATTAAACGAAGTTTAGAAATTCAAAAAGTTGAAAATCAGTTGGAAGGAAAGGAGATTATGACTTCAGTATTTTTTATTCTTATTTTAGGATCTAAACATCATTTAGAATAACTTACAGCTATTTAGCCTTTCCAGTCGGAAAACAGTAACTGCTAAAATCTCACAGTGTAGCCCTTGCTTTGCTGGACTACCATTAAAAGCCTACGTAGCTTCGGCTGGAAAGCACAAGACTCCTTAAAACTGCCTATATTCTCATTAGCAACTTGTAACTTTATTTACCTCCTCAACTCACTGTCAGTTCCCAGCTACAGTTTCCACCTTCTCCTTGCCTTCAACTTTCCATTTGTGTGTTTCTCTTCTCCAGTAACCTTTGTTTGCCCCATGATCTTATTGGGATAAGATCCTAGGTCCTGCCTAAACTATGTTCAACTTGCTTCTTTCTCCTCTTTCTCCTGAAAACATAAAAATACATTCTAAACTTACAACATTAAAAAAAAAAAAAAAACCTCCTGACCTCTCTTTAACTACTGCCCTTTCATCTCTGCTCCCACATGCACAATTTACAAGTGGCCAGGAGCTCTTCTCCTTCAGGTCCATCTTTAGATCCTATTTAATCAAGTTTCTGTCCCTGAAACAGCTCTTACCAAAATCCTTAGAGGCCAAAACCTTCTTAAACTCTCAGAGTTCCACCTTCATCTTTTCTGACCATCATACACCTTTATCATAATCACCTTCTTCTTGAAGTCTGGCCCTTCCTATATCTTTTGTAATTACAGCTCCTCCTAATTCTCCTCCCATCTCTACTGGTTCCTTCAACATTTCCATGAGAGAAACCCTCTAAATTTCTATGGGTGCTGATAGGGCTCTTTCCTTGTTCCTCTTTTTTCCCTCCCTACATCCTCTGCCTGTGTACTTTCACAAGCACTGATTCAATTATAAACATATGACTCATGGATCTCCTTTTCTCTAATCCAGACCTATTTCTTCTGTTAAAACCACCATTGCAGCCTGTCTCCAAAATCTCTTCTGTGAATATCCTGCTGTCAATTCAAGTCCAATGAGCCTGAAATAGAGCTCTCATACTCTGTCAAAAAAAGTACTCTTTAAGTTACTATGGACCATGCATCTATTTTGCTAAAGAAGTGAGTGACAAAGGTCAAAACAAACCAAAAAAAACCCCTTTGATTTTTGGAAAATGTAATCTTACTGAACTCTGAATATTATAGATTAATATAGATTATTAATATATTAATCTATAATACTGCTACAAGGATAATTCTCCTAGCTTATCAGTCAGTTCTTTCTTTGTACATCCTTCCACGTTCTTCCCACATGAAACTTGTTCTCATGTTCTGTTACAGTGCAAGCTATATGCCCTCTTAATCTCTCATTTAGTAATGAGAGCTCTATTCCCACTACTGATCAGCCAAGAACATCGTAATAAATTTCTCAGTTGCTTTTGTGCTTTTTCCCATGCATATGCTAATGTTCAGGAACAGCTCAAAAGAATCAGTGAAGGTATCCCGCTTCCTTATTTCAAACTCAAATTATAATCCTTTATAGTTTTGATACCCATAAAAAGAACAGTATTTACTGGGCTGCTAATATGCTACCTATAAATATGGCTTATGCTGTCCCATCATATATGCCAGCTAAACTACTTACAGGTTTTTTCAAAAAGAAGTGAACTTTTTGTCATGTTTGCACAGCAGCTAGCACAACTCCTAGATGCTACACCGTGACCAAAGGGAACAAATATTCAGAGCAGGCAGCTAGAGCAGCAAAACCTGAGGAGCAACCCTCCTCCTCTCCGAAAAAGTTTTAGCTGTGGGCCTCACATCCAGCAGCAGACAAAGTATAAAGGTTAAAGCATGTATTAATGTAATAAACTGAAGCAAGCTGTTTGTCTTTGAATGGTTTAGCACCATACACCATTGTAAAACTAGGGCCTATTAGAGAGGATAACAGTCCATGCTGTTCTCACTGGCTACGATGACTACTCTGTCTGAGCGGTGAGACATTTGAGAATCTCACTAAATTGGCCTGCTGATACACTAAATTAAAGTAGCACTATCTCGCCTGCATTTCACCAAAGCTCTGTAATATCTCTGAACAAAAAGAGACAATATTGTGCATTCAGTCAGGTGTAAAGCCAGTGGCCCCTAAGAGAGCTATGGATACTGCGGTAGGATTACAGAACCTCAGAAGAGAGGTGAGGAGGTAGGAAGAGCCTTCTCAGTCTTACAATTACGTAAAACTTCATGTGCATGGACAGAATCACGTTCCTCCAACGATCAAATAATTTTCCGTGAGAAAAGATGGGAGTTTAAGAGACTGAGCCATCTCAATTCTCCTGGTTTCCCTGGGTCTGCACACAAAGCGGCAGTTTCACTTTAAACTTGTTTGGCAGCTGATACACCTGTGACAATTAATATCACAAAAACATAGCATAGACTAGGCCTAAAAGCATTACTGAAGCTATTCACCTTGCCTAACACTGTTGCGTACTGCTAAAAACTGCGTACTGGTGGTAGTTCACAGATGGAGTTTTAAAAATGAGCATTACAGCTACCTCTACTTTCTTCTGTGAAGCATCTCCAACTTGGAGATAGAAGATTAAAATCTGTATCCATTTCTTTCTTCTTTATAAAAAGATTAACTTCGGGTTTTGGTCATTCTGAAGTCATAAGGATACACACTCTAAAATCCAGAATAGGTGCGAACTTTTCTCCAGCTTAATGGACATTAATCTCCCAAGCTTAGTTTACACTGGCTCAGCAACTGGTATTTTTCAAGGTAGCTTTCCAAAACCTCAGCTGTTACAAATTTTAACACTATACAGTATAGTACAACTGGGAACCACCGGCATTACATCCTTCTAGTGCTTCTGTAGAGAAAATATGTTCGCTTCAACCAAAGTTCAGTCAGGCTAAATATACATAGTTACTCGAGATTTTTGCAGTAACTGCTGTGAGATAGAAAAACACTGGTAGGCTTCTTCTACTAGCATCCAGAATTAAGGACAATTTCAGGAGTTCCATTAATGCCCACAAACATTATTAAATTAACTCCCCAACTCAACAGAGCTGGCCACAGCACCCAGTTTATTAACTTATTCGCTTCTACACCAAATTCCAAGCTCCTTTTTAACATGTTACCTATTCACATGCGGCTGCAGCAATGCCTCCAAATTATCTAAACTGTGCACAGAAATCAGAAATTCTTCTGCCTTGTCACAGCCACAGAAAGATACAGTCAGTACTTGAGCATGACTTGTGACACTGGCTCAGTTTGCTGAGTACACTGAAGATGCAAGCGTGACCCAAGGAGGCAAAAAACAGCCTCCAGACAAACAGCCCTGGGGCACTAGAAGGTACCAACCCAGTCTAGGTAAAAATCCTTCAGTTTACATGCGTTTGCAGGAACTTTATTCCTATGATTTGTTCCAGTGTAAAATTACCTCTCCTCTCAAAAGAGCAAGATCTCCAGAACAGTTATGTGAACTTATTTTAAGCCTCCGCATTAAGGTGATTAGGCTTGCATCAACACAAGATAGGACCTACTAACGAGAATTTTGTCACCTACTCTAGAAAGTGGTTATACCTCTTCTCCTCACAATACCAAGGGCCCGTCTGCATTTTTCTTATTGTTCCTCTTTTTCTTTACAACAAACATAAGAGGAGTAACCCTTACTGAGTGCTAGGCAAGGAAGATTAAATTTGATCACGGATTGTAACTTCTCAACCTCGCATGAAAGCTTATGGCAAAGGCTTTTTCTACCTTCAGGACAGGACTTACAGAGAACAAATCATCACCTTTCAGGCTCACACCTTGCTTTGTGCAACTCTGACCTCTCTCACTTGTTCATCATCAAGCACGAATTTTAACATGATACACCCTTCCAGTTAGCCAGTGATCCACATATGACACAGGGGCCAATTGACTATTCTAATTCAGCACAATATCACTTACCAATATTCCTACATACAATTATTTAGACCCATGACAGTCAAATTCAAATATCCACTAAATTAGATTAAGTATTTATGGACAAGAGACACATCTTGGGACTCCGGATCTTCACTGCTTTCCAATGATCCTCTTTGAAAGGGCAGACTACAAGAATGCAGGGTCTGTATGCAAGTGGACACAAAGCCTGTAAATTAAGATGAAGAGAGGGGACATCAATTAATTGGTCAATAGCAAAGTCTTGCCAGGAACAGATATGGGCTTGGTGACAGAACTCTGAAAATTACACATCCCATCAGCTAACTCCATATTTAAACTTGTCTCAAGTAAATCCCAAAGTACTCATGGAAGGAAGTTAATATAATTTCCCTCCATTTTATAGAGATGGAAACTAAGGCAAAGGCATTCTGATTTGCCACGAGTCATCTAACATACCAGTGGCAAAGCTGAGATTTCCAATTCCCAGTCCTGGTCTTCGCATAGCTTAGTGGCTAGGCTTGTCCAAATTGAAAGCCAGTTTAAGAGTCTTACCAGCTTCTTTTTATCTTTTCCTCACGGGATAAAAAACTCATAACAGCCACGTAAATAAGGAAATAAATCAAGTTAGAGCAAAGGTGAGATCTTGTACACTGTCTATTTCACACTCTGGCTTCCAACATATGCATATTCATGTGCAGCATAGACTCCTTAATTCATGATTTGCATTTATGCCTGAGGTTTTCAGTAAGCAACACTACAAAGCTGTTGTAATTTATTTGTACTAAGCAGCTGCATCACCCAAATCTATTCAGTAGCTTTGGCTACCTCTTCTCCTACGGAAAATGAGTTTCACTCCAAGTAGGGTTTATTTAAGTGTTGCTTTTTAAAAATGTTGGAGAAGACAGATTCACCTAGATATGTTTAGACCAGAGCTCAGTATTGCCTATTATGTAACAACGGGGAAAAAAAATTGCAATAAATAAAGCAGGCAATAAACCACTTCTAGCAAACTAGAACTCTGCACTACTAGCAAAACCTAAAGTGATTGGAGTTCACAAAAATGTCCAAACAAAGGATCAAACTTTGTTTTATCACTGCAAAAGATAGAGAGATTTTCAATGCTGAATTTATGAAAGAAGCAGACACATTCTGTACTAGTGGCAAGGTGGAAAGTTCTTATGTGCACTTTTTTGGTGCAACTCCACCTCAAATTCTTCAAGCTTCGCAAATTGCAGCATTCATAAAGGCAAGGATCTCAGCAGCATGGAGCATTCAACCTGCTCCTTGCTCTGTTGAGGTATTTTTCAGCAATAAGCTAAACTTGGGGGGTGTTTTTAAACCAAAGCAACACTTGATCTGCGGTAGAAATGCATTATCCTGGCTGTATCTATCTCTAAATTCTGCCATTCCTTCTCATCCCCAATGCCTTCCTATTGGAGGCCACATCTCTTACCACTGTGTCAGTATTAATGACGAAATTTGTTTTCTGACATTTTTACTCACAAGAGCCATACTACATATACAGTCAAACAGTTTGAAAGACTTTTGCAGCTATTGCTTCTCTTTCCTCTCTTTCTCCTCTGAAAAATGTTTTGAGCTACCTATGTCTTTCGCTTGCACAGAGCCCTTATAGGTGACTCCTGTCTCACCTACGAATACTTTTAAGTCAAGATACTTTAAGTCAAGATACTTTAAGCCAAAATCTTGCCCAAGTTGACTAAGCATCTCATGTCCTCCCATCTGTATTGATATCATTATTTGTCCTCATAAAATCCCTAGGAAATATGGCAGTGCCCTTGCCCCCATTTTATAATTCAGCACTCACTCAAACCAATTTGCAGAAGACTTTGACACTGTAGTTTTACCAGTTAGCAGCGCGTACTAAATTCTACCTCCTCCCCCAGGGTGCCAAGGTGTTCCTGCAGGCTATCGCCACCCCAAACTTCATTCCAAAGACGATCTGCCTGAACAGCCTGCCAGGCACCGTTTTTGGCGGACTGCGTGAGTTTCAGGGAGAGAAGCTGCACCACAATAAAGCTGCCACTGGCACTTCTCAGAGGGCTTTGAATACGAACCCTCTTTTGAGCCCAGAGACGGGTGCATCCCAGAGCATTCACATCTAACTTGCAGACCATCTATTATAGAGAGGCAAGTATTTTCCAGAAACACAGGATCTTCACAATGTGGTGCTTCACACAGTGAATACTTCTCCCAGCTCCTTTTGCTCTCTAGGATACATTTGTTGATATAACTGTCATGAGATCAACTGATGACTAATCACAGATCTAACATACCACTTCATTACACCTAGGGTTTAATTCAAACTACCTTCTCACATGAGCAAAAACCTCTTCAGTTTATGGTTCTTAATCAAACCATTGATGTCAATCTGATGCAAAACCAAAACCTTATATATTCTACACAGAAACTCAGATGTTCTCTCTGTAAGCATAACAAATTAATTAGTGAAATGACACTAAAGCAAGGAAATTAAACACAGGCCAAAGGATAGCACCTGGCTTTGGCTGCACAGCATCTATCGGCTTCGGTTCTCCCTTCAGGGACTTCAGATTGAGATTTGACTCCTTGAAAACCCACTTGCAGCTGCATATGTTGTTGGGAACTGCGGACCGATAAATACATAGCTTTTAGGAATAACACTGCCTTGTCTGCTATTGACTGCATCAAGAGCAGCTGCTTGTAGCCAAACTGGCAGCTTAAACTCACAAGGAAGCATGGTTCAGAGAGCATCAGATGAAGCCTGGCATGGAGATCAGCAATAGAGAGGGAGTAAGGAACCAGTGCAGTTTATCTTCCCCTTGAACTAAACTGAAGCAATGATATTTGCCTACTGCTCTTGCAGGTTGTCAATATTTGTAAAATGTTAAAATTCACCAGAACACAAACTGAATTCTCCAGCAACTGCGAGTTAAGCAATATCTAGTTCCCCTCTCTGAAGTAGAAAGGCAGGAAAATCCCTTTCATGCTTTTTTAAACTTTATTTTAATAAAAGCCAAAGACAACATGAGAGAGACGTCAAAATGCACCTTCTCTCTGGCCATTCACTTTCAAACTTTTAGGTGAAAATCACTGTCAGGATAATTCTGGTGACACTGGCAAGACTACATGGATCGTTGATAAATTAAATCCCCAAACATGACCTCATTTGCCACTTTAATGCAATCCAGAAACATCCCAAGGATGACACATGAATTTGTCCAGGAGGCTGGAAGCGGAACCAGGGCTGGAAGACTTACCATCCATAAAAGCTCTAGGACCTCATCCTCAATCTCAGACAAGACTATATCGTACGCATTTCTCACATAAAGTTTCTACAGTAAGTCTGGAGAGGAAGTAAGTCTAGAGAGTTACAGTGATAAAATTAAGCGGGGAGAAGTGATTACTGCAGTTCCTATTCTTGCAAATTAAGCGCAATTTTTACCATTCTCGTCACTGGGCTAGGAAAGCAGACACAGGACAACAGCGTAGCAGCCGTTAACCCGAGAAGCTGGCCACCACTCCCATGAAATCCTGGCAATGCCACAAGAAATTTCAGACCCTGAATCTCTCCGGGCAAGCTGCTTTTCAAAATTACATTTCCTTTTTCAGGTTTTGTTGTGTTTTGATTCCCTATGCTGTTGCCACAAGACAGCAGCCAGGGAGTCGGTCTCGAGGCGGTGCAGCCGAGGCCTAACGCCGAACCGGCAGTGCTCAAAATGGCAACGCTCTCAGCTGCACCAAAATTTATCAGCGTCGGTGTTTGAACAAGTCCCAGTGAAGCAACTCGTGCCAAGAGCGGAAAACAACACACCATAAAAAATAAATGGAAAACACATGTTGCCTTAATCTTCAATCAAAGTCATCTTGGGACTTGCTAACAGACACGTTTTTGAAGTAAACAGCAAAATAATTTGCAAAAAGGGTGTTTTTTGGTTTTTTTTCCTCCTTTAACCGGCAGCACCGCTCACCCAGCGCCGCGCTTACCCCACTGGCCACACGAGGACGAAGCATCTTACCGCTTCGCTGGGGAAAAGCGGCAGCGGCGCTAAAGCCTCCGCCTTCGCCTTCCCCTCGCCGCCCCCC